GCGGCAGCTGCATTTTGCAACATCACAACGAACAATCACGTGTATTTGCTCATTGTAGTGGTAAGCGGAATCTCTCGATTGGACATAGAGCGGCTCATGCTCACCTGGCGCAGAAGTCGAGCACGTTCTTCATGGAGGTCTGCACTTGGGGTCCTTATCTCAAGTTGGCGAATGGCGGCAACTGGCGCAGATCCGCAGTAGTCAATTCAGCTTGGTTCCCTCATCCTATGACGTATATATATATATGTATATTAGATATACATATATATATATATATATAGATGTATACGTGCATGAATAGATGTAGAGCTTTTTTCGTGCTGAATTCATGTTATTTCTTGCTTGCACAGATCTGATGCTTCTTGCCCTCCCAGCATGGCTGTGGATCGTGCGCTTCAGGTAAAGCTGCCCGCCGCGCGCGGCGGGAGGCAGAGGTGGAGCCCAAGGACGCCGTGAACATGTGCCGGGGGCCTTGGTGTCGCTCACGTTCTCACTTGAGTTGGACTTGATATTCTTCGCGACCACTTCAGCGGCAAAAAGACGCTTGGACTGTTTGACCAATCCACAGAGCAAGTGAGCGTTATATAGCATATGACTGTTCATCTTCCCTTGAGGAAGCCGAAAGGGGATGGATGCACTTTTTGCAGACCGCCTACTGAGCTTGGGTCTCCACATGTAGCATTTGCACTAGTCATGGTGTCGTAGCTTCGAGGAATTTCGTGGGAACCATCGCCAAGTGGTGCCTCGCAGTGTCCTCCACTCCACACCACAGCACAGTGCATTTTACTTAAGCCTCAAGATATGAACGCTCTGAATCAACTCCAAACACGCAGGACAGCTGCTGATTTGAAGACAATCAACACTTCAGGAATGCCTGACCATTGGCCGCATGAGTTCCTTCCTCAGTTCCTCAGACCATCCAAAGCAGTGCAAGGAAGGTGCCCAGCGTTGCCAGGCGATCTGGACTTGGAAGGTCCTGCGCTGGCATCTGGGCTGCGTTACTTCCGCCAGCTGTGCGCTGTACTACTCTGTGGTCATACCCTGAGTGGACATATCCAAGAATAGGCCATATTTGCATGTGTATTATGACATATATATATATACACATGTGTTTGTTGGTTGTGAAGGTGTACACCGGACTCGCCATGTATATTGCACCTCCTGCTCCAACTTGGTTTGGAACCTGAAAGCTTCCATTTTTTTCAACGAGCAGGAGCACGCTTTGAAAGCAGTGATCAATGCTGCCCTACTGTGGCCTTTTCTCTCAGAATTTGGATCTGGACCAGACAGAGAAAATGTCAACACTGTGTTCAAGCGGCACTGGCATCAATGCAGGTAAGACCAAGGCCTAAAAAGGCGTTTGCAGTGCATTTGCGCTGAGTGGTTGCTTGTGTTTGCATCGTGAGCTGGCATGCTCACTGCTACCTTCAGAAATTATTGAAGGAAGAGAATGCCGCAAGATTGTGGTGAGCGAGAATAATACGCTTCAGGCCTTTATCTGGAAGCCGCTGCAAAAGTTTTGCGGTTTGCTGTGTTGGGACTCTAGGGCTCCACAGGCAAGGGTCACCCTTGTTGCGCGCACATTTTATGGAATTAGGTCCTCCCTTGTGTGGGTGTAGGAAACCAAAGCCAATCTGACCAATTTAAGGAGGTCCCGTGCGGCCCAGGCTGAACCTGTAGATGGTACAAGCTCCCCTTTGGATGATATCATTTGAATACTGTATTCCGTGCTCCTCTCTATAGCTTTGGGATAAGACGCCTGAAATTCCTCCTACCTGCAGCCAGATCTACCAAGTGTCCGAAAGTGGCTATGTGTCTTCTCTCAACTGTTCTGCTGGTTTGGCCATTGGGCGGGCCCCGCTGAGGCATCCATTGACATTGACTGATCGCCGAGATACCCATGACCAAGATCGACTAAAGGCTGGCATGGGTCCTGTAGGCTTATCTAGAGCGACAGTTACGAGCCCAAAAAAAGCCGTGATGTTTGTCTTGTTTATTGGTTCAACCATTGTTTCTGGCAAGTTATCACCTCATACTATAGTTTTCTCAAGCGCGTTCCATTTCGAACCAAGCATCAATATGACTTGCGCGCTGCTTGTGTAGATGCAATAGCACCCAGCAAGCACCCAGCAGACTCAAAGAAGGCAAGCTGTGACAGAGAATGCTTTGCTGAGTGTGTCAGCCTAAGTCGTCAATTTCATTCATATTTGCTTGTGCACGAATGACTTTTGTCCAGCCATGATTAATCATTCAGCCACCACTCATTCTAATCTTAAAACAAAAAGCGAGGCTTCTGAATGCAAGGCCTGCTTGGAAGCTTGTCAAAGGCCGGGTGAATGAGTTCTGGGCTGCTTTGCGCTCTTCCACATTTCATTGCAAAGTCACCTCGAAGCGACCCCATTTCTATCATAATCCATTCATCCGTCCATCCATTCATCCATCCAGCCATCCATGCTTCCTTCCATCCATTTGTCCATCTGTCCATTGTCCATCCACCCAGCCAACCACCCACATGTTACATCCAGCCAGCCATCTATCCATTTGTCCATCTATCCATCTATCCATCTATCCCATCTATCCATCCACCCACCCAGCCACCTACACATAAATCCATCCATCCATACAGCCAGCAGCTAGCCAGTCAGCCAGCCATCCACCCATCCAGCCAGCCTTCCATCCAGCCATGCATCCATCGATTCATTCATCCATCCAGGTGTTTCCGCTGCCTGTAATCTATATTTGCTTTTTGGTTTTATATCTCTCTCTCTCTCTCCCCATCTAATCTATCCATCCATCCATCCATCCATCTATCTATCTATCTATCGAATCTAAACGAAACTAATCTGGTCTAATCTATTCTATCTGGTTGTTTGGTGTGTCTGTCTGTCTGTCTATCTGTCTATCTAGGCAGCAGTAGATCAATACGTAAACACACAAACACTTACATGGACAAGTAGAATGCCCATACCCATGGCCTACCCGGCTGGTGCCCTTTACATGATGATATCGCGGCAGCAAACGTGCATCACCCCAAAAAACTGCCACAGCGTCAAGGCACAAGACAGTTATACCCGACATATACAAAACATATGTCTGTATATACATATATATATAGATATGGATGTAGACATGTGTGAAAATCCGGGCAACATCGCCAATATGTTGATGTGGTTTCCTTCAACATAAGACCCACAGCAAGGGCCGTGCGACCCTCTCTAGATTCAACCGGATGGCCGAGAAACAATTGTTCAACTTGTGAGAGGCACTAAACTGAAGGTGAAGATTCTATCTTGGCTGCTGTTGAGTTGGGTTTTTAGCCTTGGCTTGCTGGGATTTTGTGCGTTTTCCCTGGAACCAGCACACAAGTCAAGTCTTTTGCGCTGGAGACAAGTTTGACCAAGCTATTTTGGCTTTGGCGCCGTTGGTGTCCAAGCACTTGTCGGGGTCCCTGTCTCTAAATTCACAAGGAAACCACGAGTTGATTGTTTGGTTCCCCAAAGTCAGGTGCGACGGGCGCGGACGTGGAGACTTCGCGGGTTCGCGGTGGCGCGGAGGTCGCGCCGCCGGGTGATTCGCGTGCGGGGCCCAAAGTTTGGCCCCGAAAAGAAGTTGGAGCGGAAGGAGAAAGCACATGGCTGGTCTTTGTGACCGAATCGCCCCCGTAGACCTGTTGGAAACAAATGTTTTTTCATTAACCCTACAAAGGTTAGACCCTTGCCTCAGTGGGTAAGGGCAACCCGGAAACTGGGGTCCAAACAAGAGGGCATCAATTGAGTGGTCCCGTTTGGGTTCCCTACGTCCCGAAAAAAAGGGAAGTCAAAACGAGTTGTTTCCTTGTGGCCCAAATCATGGGGTATCCAAACTCGCTGGTTTTCTCGGTTTCCCAAACAAGGGCGACCCTAAAAGTTGAGGCGTCAACAGCTGAAAGCTATGGGGTCTTTGCTCGGATGGGCTCTGAGGTGGTTTGGGGCAGCTTTCAGGGAGGGTTCCAAAGCATTCCGGAGGGTTCCTAGGGGGTTCCGGAGAGCTGTTTGGGATCCACCTGGTTGTTGTTCTTTACAGGGTTTGGGCTCACTTTCTGCAGTTTTTTTTGTAGAGCACTCGCGGAATTCTGTATCGACATGGGAGCTGATCCTCCACTTGAAGTGTTGCCAGTTGTCTCCCTCCAAGGAAGCACCCTTAAACGATGTCACGTGAAAGGACCCAGCAACGTGTTTGGCACTGAGCTTCTCGCCAAACACCGCATTGTGCTAGTGATGTGAACTTGGGATGAACCGCGGGGCAGTGTTCAGCGATTGGACATGGAGCCTTCAGAAGGAAAGCAACCATTTATTCGGCTTTACTTCTCTTGGCGATGTTCAGCCGGCGGCTTCTTAGACTTTAACATGGTCAGAATTTGGTGGGTTTCTTGACATGTCGCACAAACAAGTACACGTTTGGGGGTCAACGAGCCACCAAGTTTTTTTTCTGGCACACCCCATGTGCTGAGTCCGCTAGAGGCTGAGCACGCTCCTGTATCTTGGCATCCATGATCCAGGGGCTCATAGCCCCAAAAAGTTCAATGAACAAACCATCCGATTGCCATTGGAGGGTGGCATGGACCTGTTGTTTGGCAGACATTTTATAGTAGCTGGGAGAGAAAGGGTCGGGCAAGATTGGCTTTGAGCAACCAGGCCAGCATTTCAGAAGACTGTGTTTGCCTTTAGACTGACTCCCCACAATGAGCCCCTTAAGGCCCTTCTCTGTGCAAGCCTAAGCTGACTAGAGTGATGCAGCCGGCATGCCCGTCGCCATGGCTTCGGGGGAGGCGTGCTGTCGGGTGGATAGGTTCCAGTCAGGGGAACACGGGATTGGGCTTCTTTGGGCTTCCCAACAACAACGTCCCCCATGGGTTCCCTCCAAGCCGATACCTGGTTATCAGTTTTGGGGCCAGGCTCGGAGCCCAAGTCTCTTTTTGTCCGGTCAGGCGTCGGTTGGACTCATAGTTGGGGCCGTATTGGTTTCACTTAGATGGGATGCATAGGAACCCGCTGGTTGCAGGCGAGTGCACGTTGCTGAAAAGATACTGTTAGCCGTAGTCAAGGAGTTTCTCAGAATGGGATTGGGACCCCTTTTTTGTTGGTATTTCAAGGGAACAAAAGGATACCTTTGCCATGTTAGGGCACCGGTCCCTTTGAGAAACCCCCAGCACTGCTTACGTAGGCCACCATCCTGCCGTGTATCGCGGGCGCATGCCGCGACTCGGTCGCGGGAAGCCCCAGATAGGGCGATACCTGCCGAGGCGTTGGTTCACTGCCCAGATCCTGTGGTGCCCTGTTTCCTTGTGTTCGGAGGGGGGTGTTGCTTTCACATCGACTAGCAAAACGGATGCCTTCTTTTTCGTGCCCACTGGGGATCTGGGTGGGATCTTCTTTGAAATTATGTTCACCAGGGAAGAAGTAGATGGCACGATTCCTGTTATACAAGCAAAGGGGATGACTCCCCCAATGGGGGAATTGTGCCATCTGCTTTCACGCAGCTGTACCTGTGTACCTTTTTTAGATTTAGTGTCAGCATTTATTGATGCAACACTGATGGCTCTGAAGGCGTTTTGGGGTTTGGCAAAGTAGGGTTTGAAGGTCGGTGCCGTTTTCAGGGCTCCTTCTCTGACTCAAGGTTTGTGAATGCCCAGATAAATTAAGTAACAATAGGCCACTAAACAGGTTTTGAACACACATATATATATATATATGTATATGTATATATGGACACCGAGGTTGGGGAAGGATTTGGGCCCGTTTGGTAGCTTTCAAGGGATTAAAGATTAGCATTGATTGGCCATCCTCAGATGTTGTACTCAGCTGTTCAGTTGCAAAGGCCTGTTTCTAGCATGTAGCTTTTGGCAATCTGGCAAGCGCTGAAAGAGGAAATTAACAGTCTAAGCGAGACGTCACGGGAACCAAGCTGCTTTGAGACCAAGCAAATGACATCTTCAATGGCGGTAGTGGATGATCAATCGCAGATGTTGACGACGCTTTTGCAGATGCATGGCAAAGACACTTGGCTGCGTACCGCGCACATCAGTTTCTGCTTCTGAGGTGGCTTGGGCGTGTCGTCCTTGACTTGTGTATCTGTTTTGCCACTGCTGGAAGTTTGACTGTCATGAAGCATGCCCGGAAGTAAGGCCGCTCCGACGTATCCCTGAAGCATACCCGGCAGCATACCATTCATGTGCGGTGAACGCTAGTACTAGTGTTTTCATCTTCGTGGTGTTTATGGGGATCCTCTAACCTTCTGAGTTTCTCTTGCTCCAAGCAAGCTTCAGAAGGGATCGCATTTGTGTTTGGAAGCCATGCAGATATATGTACATAAGTCTATGGGCTGGAATGTGATCATGGCAACGCGTTGTGAGGGCTGGCTTGGTGCCGTTTGGGGGGAAACCACCCAATAGAGCGTGTGGAGTATATATCATGTATGACCCCCCCCTTCCCAGGTGTTGTTTGGGGGATTTGGAAACCCCCCGCCGAGGCTTTGCTTTGGCCTTCGCCTCGGTGCCAGTTGCCTGAAACCAATGGCTTTGGCCGGGGTTGTCTTGGTTGGTGGAAGTAGAGGGAGTCTTGAAACATATGGGTTTCTTATCCTTGGTTTGTGAAGTTATCCTGTACACTTGGGGTGCCTTCATCTTTCCGAAAGAGGGATTAAAGGTATATGTCTTTTCCAAAGAGAGTTGGTGGATGTGAGGGTGGCTACCCTGAATGTTTGAATGTTGGCTGGTTGCTTGGCTCGCTTGACGATGTGGTTTAGCCCAAGCTGGCTCCTGGATGTATGCCAAATACCTGATGCAAAGCAAGTAGCAAAAGTACCAGCCTGATACGACACTGACATGAACTCTTTGTCACCTTTAGCG